TGGGAAAATAACGTGACCTTCTTCTTCCAGTACTTCATTCAAGAAACCCTTCAAAAAGAAGGAGGAGGTCGTACACGCCATTAATTTCGCAACCCCTTCCTCCACCTCTCAGACAGAGAGGCAGCCACGGAGAAAGGAGAGGAAGTTCACCCCTATCCCCACCTCATACGCAAAGCTGTTGCCCCAGTTATTATAGGACAATCTTCTGGCGTGTGTTCCTCCCAAGAAAATGGAGCCTCCCTACCCCGAGTGGTACAAGCCCAACGAAAAATGTAGCTATATGCACCTGGGCATTCAACGGACAATTGTTTGACCTTAAAATATAAGGTCTAAGAACTAATTGATGCCGGTTGGATAACCTTTGATGCCTTTGCTTCTGATGTCGACGCCAAACCTCTGTCTAAGCCAGAGTAGCAGAGAGGGAGGACAGGGAGGATCAGCCCCTAGGGTGCTCTTTTTTATATATAGCTTTTTCTTGTATCTCCTGCGGTCCCCGCCCGTGGCCGCATGAACTCTGATTATACGCTTTTTTTTAATACATGAGACAACTGGACGCCAATTTCCTAGTAGTGTCCAAATACCCGGAGTGGTTGGCCAACATAGTACCTATCATAAAAAAGAACGGGAAAGTCAGGATATGCGTGGATTATAGGGACCTCAATCGAGCAAGTCCAAAGGATGACTTTCCCCTACCACATATAGACACACTAGTAGACCACACCGCTACCAACACACTTTACTCCTTCATGGATGGGTATGCGGGGTACAATCAAATTAAATTGGCCGTCGAGGACAGAGAAAAAACCTCTTTCATCACACCATGGGGCACGTTCTGCTACCGTGTAATGCCTTTTGGACTCAAGAACACAGGGGCTACCTATCGAAGGGCTATGGTCACACTGTTCCATGACATGATCCACAAGGAAATAGAGGTGTATGTGGATGACATGATCGCCAAGTCCAGAAATGAGATGGACCACATTTAATATCTCAAGAGGCTTTTCGATTGGCTCCGGAAATATCAACTCAAACTAAACCCAGCAAAATGTACTTTCGGAGTACGATCAGGAAAACTATTGGGGTTCATTGTCAGCAAAAGAGGAATAGAAGTGGACCCTAACAAAACCAAAGCGATTTTGGAAATGCCCCCGCCAAGCACAGAAAAGGGGGTCAGAGGATTTCCGAGCCGAATTAACTATATTACCCGTTTCATCGCACAGTTGACGGATAAATGTACACCCATCTTTAAACTGTTGCCCAGAAATCAACCAACAATGTGGAATGAAGAATGCCAACAAGCATTCGATAAAATCAAAACATGCTTAACTAATCTGCCAGTATTGGTACCACCCATTGAAGGCAGACCTCTGATCCTATATTTGTCAATACTCGAAGAGTCCATGGGATGTGTGCTCGGTCAACAAGATGAAACTGGGAAGAAGGAGCGAGCCATCTATTATCTCAGCAAAAAATTCCTAGACTATGAGACCCGTTATACACCATTTGAAAAGACCTGTTGCGCATTGGTGTGGGTCACTCAGCGTCTCCGACAATATATGGCTCGGCATACGACATGGCTGGTCTCCAAAATGGACCTAATCAAGTACCTCTTCGAGAAGCCCATACTGACCGGAAGAATAGCTAGGTGGCAAGTGCTCCTCTCAGAGTTCGACATCATTCATGTCACCCAGAAAGCTATTAAAGGTAGCCCCCTAGCGGACTATCTAGCCCATGGATCAACGGACGAGTATCAGTCCTTACAGGACGACTTTCCTGATGAACATATCATGCACATCGAACACAAAGAGACCAAAGAAGAGGCATGGACCATGTTCTTCGACGGGGCCTCAAACATGCTTGGACACGGGATAGGAGCTGTTTTGATATCCCCTGAAAAGAAACACATCCCCATAACGGCCAGGCTAAATTTTGACTGTACCAATAACATGGCCGAATACGAAGCATGTGCACTAGGAATCCAAGCAGCTCTAGAGCATGGGGTTACTAAACTCAAAGTCTTCGGTGATTCATCCCTTGCCATCTATCAACTTAAAGGTGAATGGGAAACCCGAAACTCCAAATTAATCCCATATCTAGAGAACATCCGTGATTTAGTCTCAAGAATGGAAAGTGTCGCCTTCCAGTATATTCCTCGGGAAGACAATCAATTTGTTGATGCCCTCGCCACTATATCATCCATGTTTTCTTTGGGTCAAGAGCATGAGATGCCAATCATCCAAATTAAGCTGCATGACAAACAAGATTTTTGTATGGCAGTAAATGGCGAGCACGACCAAAATCCCTAGTATCATCACATCAAACAATATCTCATGAGGGGCGAATATCCCGAAAGAATCAATAACAATGATAAACGAACCATTCATAAAAGGGCAGTAGGGTTCACGTTGATTAAAGGAACCCTCTACAAAAAGAGTCTCGATTCCACTCTCTTAAGGTGTGTGGACTAAAAAGAAGCCCAAACCTTGATAAGAGAAATCCACAAAGGAAATTTTGGGACCCACACACCTGGGCATGTCATGGCAAAGAAGATCTTAAGGGTAGGGTATTTTTTGTTCACAATGGAAGCCGATTGTCACCAATATGCTAAAAAGTGTCACAAGTACCAAATCTATGCCGATAACATTCACGTGTCGCCCGCACCTCTCAATACCCTGGTTACACCATGGCCATTCTCTATGTGGGGCATGGATGTCATCGAACCCATCGAGCCTAAAGCATCTAATGGTCATCGTTTTATCTTGGTGGCCATTGACTATTTCACCAAATGGGTTGAGGCAGCATCGTATGCGCATGTGACTCGGAAAGTGGTAACCACCTTCATCAAGAAAAATATTATATGTCGGTACGACATCCCTCATAGGCTCATTACTAATAATGGGACCAACCTCAATAATAAGATGATGGAGGAACTATGTCAAGACTTCAAAATTCAACACCACAATTCTTCCCCGTACCGACCAAAGATGAACGGTGCAGTAGAGGCAGCCAATAAAAACATTAAGAAAATCATCCAGAAGATGGTAGTAACCTACAAAGATTGGCACGAAATGTTACTCTTCGCCTTACACGGCTACCGAACTTCAGTACGAACCTCTACAGGGGCTACTCCATTTTCCCTCGTATACGGTATAGAGGTTGTACTACCAGTAGAGGTCGAAATACCCTCCCTGCGAGTTGTTATGGAAGCAAAATTAACAGAAGCTGAATGGGTCCAAAGCTAGTACGATCAACTGAACCTAATCGAAGAAAAATGGTTGGACGCCATATGCCGGGGGAAAGTTTATCAAAAGAAGATCAAGAAAGCCTATGACAAGAAAATCAATCCCCGCATCTTCGGAGAAGGGGATCTGGTAATAAAGAAACTACTTCCAGCCCAGAAAGACAAAATCGGGAAATGGACAACAAACTATGAAGGACCCTTTGTGGTCAAGCAAGCCTTCTCAAGAGGAGCCCTTATCCTCACCAACATGGACGGAGAAGAGCTTCGACACCCAATTAACTCAGATTCGGTAAAAAAATACTACGCTTGAAGACATTGCTCATGACCCGTCAGGATGAAAACTCGCAAAGAGCGTCCTGGGCAAAAGATAGGGTCCACATTCCTCGCTAGGATACGTCCTAGAAAAAAATTAGAGGTTTAAAAAAACACAAAAAAACAAAAAAGAGGAGAAAAAAGCAATGATTACCTTAGCCAAAAACCGCAAAGGCGACTAAGGTAATACCTTCACAAAAGCAAGCAGACTTCGCATGATCTTCACTCTGAGCTCGAGCATCTCAATTGAAGTGACCAGGAAAAACAGAGAAACATAAATCACGGGCATGATTGTTATATCCTATACATCTTAGCCAACCTTGGGCAGCCCTGCTTATAAATTCCTTTGTAAATCCTCCTGTAAAAATAAACCATTCGTTTATATCAATAAAAATTGTCTTCTTTTCTCTTTATCTACTTGCAAGAATGCCTCTGTATTAACGAAACATGAGCATGCATAAAACAAGCATTATGAGAAAGCATAAGAAAGAAAAAGAAAACAAGATCAAAATAATCAGCGCCTGCTAGGACAGTCTCAGGCAAAAATAAGGCAGCCTGCCAGATCGAAAACCCGCAAATGGCGATCTAGGCAAAAATTTAAGGCCTTCATAAAAAATAAAAAGCCTGCTAAGACGTCCTAGACAAAAATTAAGGCAAGTCCGCTAGATCGAAAACCCGCAAAAGGCGGTCTAGGCAAAAGATAGGGCCAAAACAAAAAATTCATAAGAACATTCACGGGAAAAACAACAAAGAAAGTACTAGTCACTTTCTAGATGTCCCCAACTAAAATAGATTGCATCAAGAACATCCACGCACAAGTAGTTGCACAAAAATGACTTTGTCAAAATCAAAACAAACAAATATACTTCAGACAAATAAAAGACCAAAAAGCATTCAGTTTTGTGCTTGCATCCGAAAATAGCAAGCACTCAGAAGTATCCCGGTAAGACTTCACTGACTTTATCAAAAATATGCATTAACCAAGAGTTTCTTCGACAACCAAGCAAGAGTCGAATAACAAAAAGACTACCCGACAACAAGCAGAGTCAGATGACCACCACCAAAGGATCAAAATCAAAGAATCCCTAGCAACAAATAAGCTAGATGAACACCAACAGAATCCCCGACACAGACCGGACGACCATTCCCAGAAAAGACAAAGACAAGAGAACACATCTCAAACTCGGCGCATGAACTAGAGCAGTAAGCTGCCACCACAGCCAAAGGGTCAGCTACCTCAAGAAGGATCATCCAGAGGCACTTCACCAGATTGGGGTGTGTACTCATTAGGCCTTACAAAAGGGGGCTTACCAGACGGGGGTTCATACTCGTCAAACACCAGATGGGGGTGTGTACTCATCAGGCCTTACAAAAGGGGGCTTACCAGATGGGGGTTCATACTCGTCAAACCAAATGGGGGTTCATACTCATCAGCCGAAGGGAACAACTACCGACAGAAGGAGCATCCTGGAGGCGCACAACGCACTTTTCCCCAGAAGATCAACCGCCGCAAAGACGGGACGTCTGAAGGGTAATCGAGCAAGAGGGTCAACTCCTTTACCCTCCAGTCAATCTTCTTGGCACGACAGGCCAACAGTTGACTGATCGGGTAAAGGGGGGGCAACTGTAGACCTCGAATCTTGTCCGGTCTCATAATAAAGACCAGAAGACCTCCTTTTCGAAGATGGATGAAGCCTAAGAAGCCATTAGGAGAGACTATTAGGCCCCATACTAGGATAGGAAGGATTTTCTGCATTAAAATAAGGATTTTCGCCTTTAGGGATCGAGACTGCCGTCTCGCTTTTCGGGACCGCCGTCTCGCTTTTCGGGACCACCGTCTCGCTTTTTGGGACTGCCGTCTCGCCATTCCTGCAAGTCGAGACCGCCGTCTCGTTTGGCGAGATGGCCGTCTCGCCACTTGCAAATGGCGAGACTGCCCTCCCGTTTGGCGAGAAGGCCGTCTTGTTTCTAGAAAAGTCAATACCACCATCTCGCCAAATGAGACGGCGGTCTCGCCACTTTTGCAAGGCGAGACGGCCGTCTCGACCTGACAGGCGTGAATCCCTATAAATAGTGAGCACTCCCCCCTCATTTCACACAGTTCTTCTTCCACTTTCCCTTCTACAACTTCTTCAAATTCTCTTCCTAGAATCCCTCCGAAGCATATCCGGAGTTTCTAAGAGTTTCTTAGAGATTTTTATAGCGTTTCCGAGAGTTTTCCGGTGTTGTAAAGAGCGAAGGGCTGCCAAAACGCACCCTAACTTTCAAGAAATTAATTAAAGAGCTTGCTTCGGAGGTTTCTTCATTCTCTCCCTCTATTTATTGTCTTTACTTTTATGATTAAATTGCATAATAGATATTAGGGCCATGTAGTCATTATTTTAATTCCGCAAATAAAAGGGTAAAAGCGTCTTTTCACAAGCTTATTTATTAAATAGCTAGCCTATCATAGGAAACCCGAAAGGGGCGTCGTAAGGGAACTAACACTTCCCTTACACGTAACTAACTCCCTTACCTAAACTCTGGTTTTAACGACCAAAGTTGGTTTTCGAAAACCAATGCCTGTTTACTCCTTTTTTTATGTTTCCGGTAAAAACATCGGTGGTGACTCCATAAGAACCCTTCAAAATTAGTTCTTGGGTTAGCCCGGTTATCGGACAATCCAAGAACACCTTTTCGAAAACCTCGCCCCTAGGTTCAGTCTGGTTATCGGACAACCTAAAGGCGTTGTAACCACACCAATAAAAATACAAAAATTGGAAAGTCGGAACCATTGCGTCGCTCCGACCGCCTCGTTTTGATGGTGGCGACACTCTTCCAAGTGTTTAGCATTGGTTCTAAGCTTATTCTTGCCTATTGTCTCTCTCAAGCTTTTGCTTCACTTAAAATTCCAAATCTTTCCATCTTCAAGATTCCCTTTATTCCTAAATGGCTTCATCATCTAGAAGAAAGATCCCTACAAGGAGAAGATCTGCTCCTACCTCTCATCCCCGCCCAAATTCTATTAAAGGGTGGATTTCAGACGAAGAAGGGAGACACGAGTTTCTAAATTTTTGGAAGGAGAGGAGTATCATATCTCCAAAATTTCTGATAGGAGATAACTTCATCGATCGGGGATTCAACTTCCCTAATCTTCTTGAAACTCAAGGCATTCTTCCTTTCATTGAAATGTAGGGTACGTATTATCCGGATTTAGTTCGGGTATTTTACTCTCGCTTTTAGTATTGAGATCACATTGCTACTTCTCGGGTTAAAGGAGTCACCATCATTCTTGATGATGACATATGGGAGAACGTAGCTCACTTTCCTATTTGCGATGATGTTGTTAATGTTCTAGCAGATCTTGATGACTTCAACTGCATTCTGGCATACCGCTCTTTTCTCCACAATCCTGCCATGGAGATCGGAAGATAGCTTCTTGCAGGACCTCTAAAGAAAGAGGAACATATGCTACGTCATCTTCTTGTCTGAATTCTCTGTCCTATAACCACCAATCATGCTCAGTATTCTATTGTTGATCTTCGTATCATTCATGCAATCATGAAAAATGAGCCAATTGATTGGCCTAGTCTTGTTACTTTGACTATGCTCAAAGCAAAGTGACATCCCACCTTTAAGATTTCTTATGCTCTTCTTATCTCCAGGATTCTGGAATACAAGGGTGTTAATGTTGAAGGAGAACAATGGGCCCAGAAATTAAATTCAAATCGGATGCTTGATGAAAATTTATCTCAACTGCAGATGGTAAATGTTAATGGAACATACTTTCATAAGGATGATGCACCCCATGCTTCTGATGTTGCTGCAAATTCTGATGATGAAGAGATGCATGCTGCTGACATTCCTGTTGCTAGAACTTCATCTGGTGCTCATGCTGAACCCCACTCCTCCATTGAGGATATCATTTTCAGTATGAACCAAAAAAGGCAAGATTTCTTCTCTATCTCTGCTGAACGTCATCAAGAAATTATAAATCACATTTCGGATGTAGATGAACGTATGTCAAATCTGGAAGGCAGATTTGATATGAAATTTAATAATGACTCGGACAGTGAAGAATTTTAGCATGTTTTTTAGGCTTAGAAATTTCTATTTATATGTTGTATTATTTTGCTCAACTTCAATAAAAATCTATTTTTATGCATATATTAAGGGGAAGCTTATCTTTTTTTATTATGATAAAATAGGGGGAGAAAATATTTAAAGCCTAGTATATTTAATATTTTATGTTGCATGGTATGATTAATATTTTATGATAGTTGTGACAGTAAAAATAGGTTATTATAAATGGCTTTAAAGCATATTTTAATCATCATCAAAAATGGGGAGATTGTTGAATATACAAGGATATGATGCCTGAAGATTTTGATGATGCTTTACAGTCAAAGGACTTCAAGATTAGAAGACTCATATATAGTTGTATCTACTTGTAATAACCATGTTTTATTATTATTGAGTCTGTTAGAATAGTGTCCAAGATAGCCAGCACATAATTCATCCACTGAAAGTTCATTTTTAACAAAACCACTCTATGATAATCGATTATCACCCAGGATAATCGATTATCCTGCTTGAAACATGTTTTAAAGAACTTACTAGAATAATCAATTATCTAGGTTGATAATGGATTATCCAGTTAATTTTGGTTGCTGAAAGTTTATGTGATAATCGATTATCTCAGTGGATAATCGATTATCCTGGTCCAAATTCATACTCTGCAAAAATTGTTATCACTTATGATAATCGATTATTTGCGTCTGTTACGATTTTGAAAATCGAATTTGGACCTATTTTTTATACATATATTTCCTATTTTCGAAAATCCTAATTCCCATACCCTAAATCTCTCTATTTAAGGTTCTCTATGGCTCTCTTAAACACATAACCTTTTTCATACAAAAGTTAAGAATTGTGATTGCTAGAGAACTTTGTGTAGGGAAGAAAAAGGGGATTTTGAAACCTAGTGTGGGCTAGAAGCGATAAGAATCACTGAGTGGGTTTCTTGGTGGATTGTGTGTTATACCGTCTCTAGGAAAAGCTGTTGTCATCCTTTGTGGATTCAAAGGAGGTGTTCATCTCTTGTGTGACTCAAGGTAGGTGTTTTCTAATTCTTATCTTTTGTAATTTGTAATCTGTTGTAAACTGTGATTATAGTGACTGCATTAATCCTCTTTTAGAGTGATTAACAATTGGACGTAGGGTCTTTTGATCCGAACCAGTATAAATCAACTGTGTAATCTTATTTCCCTTATCTCTTTAATTTACAAGCACTTTAATCGGTGAAGTTTTGGGAAAATTTTTAAAACTCTAATTTTTATAAGAAACCAATTCACCCCCCCCCCTCTTGGTTTTTGTCCCAAATGCAAACATTCCACTGCGCGATTCCAATAGAAGCATGTGAACTTACTGATTCAGTTACAAATTTTATTTTGGTTTGAACTAGTGTTTCACCTTTCTAATCAGTTACTTTATTTTTATCTCTTTTTACTGTCATATCTTACTGCATTATCACTCTTCCCTCTCATATGTTTCTTTCTCTCCACCGGAAAACCGAGAAAATAACATTCAATTAAGTGATCTAATCATAACCTAAATAATAAAAATATATTCGATATATATATATATATATATATATATATATATATATATATATATATACATTAGCAAGTATATCAACAAACTAGTACTGGTAGAATAGTAGTGGTCGAAACCTCTCTTCCCATGGAAGGGTGGAGATAGGAACAACACCTAAACCTAAGGCTAAGGCAAATGAGATAAGTGATGCACAGTACCCCAAGTCATCCTTCAAAAATACATCACTTACCTATTAAGATATTAATACTCAATCCTTCATATAGAAGCCACATATATAAGCAACAGTGTGTTGTGACCACTATTGAGTGAGAGAACCTGATACCAAGGAAATGTAGGAAGTTCTTGAGGTAACCCATGAACGAATAGCTGATGTTAAAAGAGCTAGGAAGCATACTCTCATAAGAGAATATGAATTGTTAAATATGAAATATGGAGAAAGTATTGCAGATGTGCAGAAGCGTTTCACTCATATCATCAATCATTTAATGGGACTTGGTAAGATTTTTTATTAGGAAGAATTGAATATCAAAGTATTAAAATGTCTTGACTGGTCTTGGCAACCTAAGGTAACATCTTTCTCAGAATCAAAAGATCTATTCACCATGACCACAACTTCTTTATTTGGAAAACTAAGAGAACATGAAATGGAAATTTTAAGGTTTAATGAGCAACAAATTTTTGAAAAGAAAGGCAAGAATATAGCTCTCAAAACAGAAGATAAAGAATCTGAAGAAGAAAGTGAGTATCTTGGTCTACTTGTCAAAAAGTTCAACAAATTTCTCAAGAAGAAGATCCAAGATAAATGTAGACCCCAAATCTTGCCCGACTCCCAATAAAGCCAGAGATAACCAATTTCGAAGATGGTCAAGATATTGTTAAGTACCTAGTAGCATTTTTTAGGTTCCATTTAAGATAGGAAGGGTTTTTAGAGGCAATCAAAATTGGAAAATCCACCGGAGACAACAGATGGTCGTCCAGGACAGTTAGACGGTCGTCCATGCCAACTTTAAGGCTATGGACGACCTTCCACTTAGCTTGGACGACCGTCCTTGGCAACTT